TAATCGTCGGCTTGTGCGCCACTTGTATCTGGTGTTTTCTCAAGTGTCTTTCAACAAGTTTAGACACACAGCTGACGTAGGGAAGGATTCGCCAAGTGTTTGTTTCAGGTGCTTGATTAGAACTGTCTAGTTCCTTTGTTTTTGTCTCTTCTTGTCTCGTGCATCGACGTAGGAAATCTCTAGGATGACATTTCTGGGAAAATAATTCAGACATGTAGTTCAGTTCAACTTGGTAACTTTTTTCATCAGAGCAATGTATTTCTGCTCGATTTAACAAACTTTTGACAGTACTCCTCTTGTGAGAGATCGAGCTTTTGCCCTTACAGTGTAGAATTATGTACGCATGTTTCTTTGCGGTAAACGGACGTGTGTAATGTTACGTCAGTCTTACGCTGTACGAAAACATCTAGGAATGGTAGTTTGTTGTCAATTTCTTTTTCGAGCTTAAATTTAATTCCCGGAACGGTTGAGTTGATGGTGCTGTGGAGTATTTCCAGTTGGTCCGTTTTAAGGATGATAAATGTGTCGTCTACATATCGTACCCGCAACTTAGAGTTAACTGATGGAAGAGTTACAGATAAAAAGGAAGTCGTCTATAAGATAACATGCGACTCCTGTGATGCCGTATATTGTGGCAAAACGGGAAAATTTGTCTCTACACTCATCCACGAACTTCAACTGACAGTGATACTGGGCACATTTTCGCATGGGAAAAAAACTAGCATCGTCTGAATTTGCCCATCTAAAAAGGCTGAGAGTTTCTTGAAGGCATGCATTCCGATGAGTCCTGCATCAATAGGCATATCGAGTTATATGCCACGTACAAAAATCTCAGGGAAAAGTGGAAGAGACGAAAGCCGATCAATGCGGACTGACGCATACGACGGAAGCTTACTGCCTGAAGCATCAAACGAATATTGATTTCTCGGCACGTTTGAAATGCTAATTGTTTTTTACACATTTACTCGATTATGATGACGACGCGGAGAACCGACGTCAAAAAATTACTCAATTAAGTTTCCCCTTTTCCCAAAGAATGTATTTGCCTTCGAATTATATTTTTTAGGATGCCTGCGCTCCATTACATATACACATATACCATATTTATATAGATGTGAAACACCATGTCATTTTACCACAAAATGCTTTATTAAGATGCAACATCGGTTAATCCCAAGTGCGATAATGTAACTTCAAAACTTAACGAAACTTTACTTTAGATTTCATTTATTCATGTTCAGATTGGCACAATTGAGAGATCCGGGAAGATTATTTGAAGAAGAAAATTGGCTCTCCGGAACAGGTTTATTTAACTGTTGACGTTTCAAAGAGCTGGGTCGGCTCTTCATTGTCAAAGCGTTAAATGCACTTAATCTCAAAACCTATTTCACCTTCGGTGGACAGATGTACGAACAAATAAAAGACACTCCTATGGGCTCCCCTATATCAGGCCTAATCGTCGAAGTAGTTCTTCAACGGGTAGAATATTTGGTATTCACCAAGTATCAACCAAATTTCTGGGCCTGCGATGTCAAGGACACTTTCGTCGTTGAACAAGGCAAAGGCGACAAAGCATGCAGAATTTACTGACGTCATAAATTTCGAGACGTCAGTAAATTCTGCACGCATTGTCGCCTTTGCCTTGTTGAAATTTATTCCGGGAAAACATTGCTTCAACATTCGTCGCTGTCAAAACAACTGACATAGAGCACTTAAAGGAACTACTGAACTCGGTTGACCCGGATATACAATTTACGATGGAAGCAGAAACAAACAACCAACTCCCCTTCCTTGACGTGTTTGTGCGCTGGTATACAACTGCACAACTACAAACCGCGGTATTCCGAAAATCCACCAACACCAGACAGATCCTACACTTCAACAGCAACCATCCTCTGTCTCACAAACGACGTTGTGCCCGCACTCTATTCCAAAGAGTCGAAACACACTGCAGCACGCCAGAAGATAAAAGGGCCGAACGATTGTACCTTGTGGACCTATTTACAGCCAATAATTATCCCAGGCATTTTATCGAGAGGAGCAGACGTTGGGCGAACAGACAACGGCCGAATGAGCAGCAACCCGAAGTCTGGAGGGCCCTTCCTTACGTCAAGGGGGTCTTCAAAGCGGTCTCGCGACTGTTAAAACCCACCAGAGTAGGCATTGCCCATCGACCCCAAGCAACAATTCGACGTCGCCTGACGCACCCTAAAGACCCAATGCCACCCGGTGAAACCTTAGCAGTCATTTACAAAATAAATTGCAATGAGGGCGACTGTAACTATGTAGGCAAAACTGGGCGGAAATTGCAAACTCGTTTACAAGAGCAAAAATCGGCCACTCGGAGGGTAGACCCTAACTCTCAACTAGCAACACACGTCGGAGAAACAGGGCATTCTTTTGACCTCCAGAGGGCTACCATCTTAGGCCGAGGCAACACAAAAGCAGAACAGCTAACTCTCGAGGCGTGTTTCTCTGATGCCCACTCTATCAACAGGTATCTGGACCTTCCTGCAGCTTACAATGTCCTACGTCATCACAATCGTAGAGCTCAGGAACAAACAACCACACCGGACTTAAGAAGGCCCTATGGAGATAGCCTGACGCTGAGTCTACTCGGTGAGGAAGAACAAGAACCGCCAGACCGACCGTCCGACAGCGATTCACTCAGCTCCCCTCGACGGAGTAGTGACTCACAAAGCACACAGGCAAAACGCCCGTCCACCATCTCCCGAGAGGCTGAGGCAGCGAGAGGAGAGAAAAATCGATAAGCATAAGGCCGACCAACACAAGGTGCCACTTTAAATTAAATGTCTGATCGATAAAGTGCATTTTACGCTTTGACAATGAAGAGCCGACCCAGCTCTTTGAAACGTCAGCAGTTAAATAGACCTGTTCCAGAGAGCCTATTTTCTTCTTCAAAAAATCATTTACTCATGTTATTTTTTCTCTAATTCGTGCAGAAATCGACGTCTGACTGCACGAATAATTGGAGTAAGCTAATGAAATTCAGTACAGGTATTCAGTTCAGTTTTCTTATTAATTCTGAAGGGGCCTGCCCCAAATAATTTAATCCTATTTCATATTATTAACCTCCCATCTAAGCAAAGCCTCCGATCTGTGAAAAGTAGGAGTGTTTATATACCAGAAGGCAAACTCCGACCTGCATGCCGATTTAAATGCCACCCAAGGTTAAGTGGAAAATGGTACGGAAGTAACGGTCAGGTACTGGAATATAATGGATCCTTATTGGCATATTTTCAATCAATCACGGAATCTTTTCTTGGGCACAGTTTAAAGCTAACCGTTGTTTGCATATTGCCCATTCGTGTGACAGACAGCTGGAGAGGCGGTTTTGAAGACTGGCGCAACAAACGTCATTTTCTAACCAAATAACTTGCGTGTTTCTACATTAATTCCTTCGGATGTCCATTTTGCTGTAAATATAGGCAGAATAGCATTGCCGATGAAGACAAAGGAGACTGTAATGATCATTTCTGGCTTAGTAGCTGTTGTCCGCCAGTCATACCCAACACTGAAATGTGGAACACCTGGTGTTCGATCCCGCGACCTGTTGGTAAGACGTCCAACGCAACCGACAGGAAAACGAGCCCGTGGCTCAGCGGTAAGAAACGCTGGACTGCAAATCAACAGGTCGCGGGGTCGAGACACAGGTGTTCCCGAATTCGGGGTTGGATGCGACTGGCTGGCGACGGCTTATAAGCCAGAAGTGGCCATTCCAGTCTTCCCTGTCTTTGTCGGAAATGTTATTCGCGCCGCTGTGTTGCTGCTGATTGAGCTCGAAAGAGAGCCCCAAGACATAACGTGAGGGGTGAGTTCCCTAACACGATCGGTGAGCGTCCCTCTACCATTATTCATATATAGATATTATGACAGTGGGCGCTCGCCGATCAGGTTACGGAACATGCTCGTTCCGTTGTGCCTTGGGGCTCATACTAGAACCCTCGCAGGCAGTCGCACAGCAACTAGAAGAATGATGTAAATCAGGTGGTACCGACAAAGACAAGGGAGACCGGAATAGCCATTTCTGGCTTATTAGCCGTCATCAGCCATTCATACCCAACCACAAGTGCGGATCACTTGAGATTCGAACCCCGGATCTCTGGTCATGGAGTTTGACGCTCTACCACTGAGCCACTCCCGGGTTCGAATTTCAAATGATCCACACTTGGGGTTGGGTATGACTGACTTATGACGGCTAATAAGCCAGAAATGGCCATTCCGGTCTCCCTTGTCTTTGTCGGCTCCATCTCACCTATGTATACTACTAGTCGCTGTGCGACTGCCTGCGAGGGTTCTAGTAAGAGCCCCAAGACACAACCCAACGAGCATGTTCCATAACATGATCGGCGAGCGCCCACTGTCATAATTGATACTTCCGATCACAGCCGACAGGACAACGGGCCCGTGGCTCAATGATAGAGCGTCAAACTCCATGACCAAAGATCCCGGGTTCGAATCTCAAGTGATCCGCACTTGGGGTTGGGTATGGCTGGCTGATGACGGCTAATAAGCCAGAAATGGCCATTCCGGTCTACCTTTTCTTTGTCGGCTCCATCTCATTTATAGATATATATATCGATATGCGTAAAGAATCGAGGTCCAGACATTGTATCGCATTCATCATCTCCCGAAGAAGACGAAGAAGTAGAGAGGGCGAATCCATGGACCATATTGTATTCGAACTGACGTTTCGGAAACTTCCTCGTTTCCATCATCAGAGTAGCGTAATTGTTGCACTTGCGGGTCTTGAGTTATTCAGTCTTGCCGCTTGCCTCGTATTATAGCCGTGCTGGACGCACGAACTTGGACCTGCCTGTTTGCCGCTGACTGGCTTAGACCTCCCCGGAGCTGACCGCTGATAGGCTTGCGTGACCTTTGTTCCCTTTGGGGTCGGCTTAGTTGTGGTCAAATCAACGTGCCGCTTGGCGCCTCCCACGTCAGCCGGTGGGAGAGGAGACGAGGAGTGCAAAAACGCCATGCGACAACAAGTGTCGACCTTACTCCTCCAACACAAACGCCAGATGACGATTTCTAAAGCAGAAGATCGAGAACTTCTGAAGATACGAAAAATGAAGGATATCGTCACCCTGCCCGCCGACAAGGGACGCTCGACTGTCGTCATGGATAAGGCTGAGTACTGTATAAAACTAGGCAACCTCTTGATGGACAAGGAATCTTATGCGCCATCGACCGTCAGCGAGTTTAAGAAGCTCGTAAACAGCATAAACAATACGATCGGCAATCTGAGGAAGGCGAGAGCTCTTACGAGAAGGGAAGCGTTGGCCGCAAAAGCCAGTGACACTGCGATGGCGCGCTTCTACGGCCTACCAAAGGTCCACAAGCAGGGGGTGCCGCTACGCCCCATCGTCTCCTTACGTGGTACCCCAACCTTTGGGCTGTCAAAGTGGCTGTACCAGCGACTTTGTTTCCTTACCAAGGATTCGGAGTGGACAGTGAAGTCGGCTGAAGAGTTCTTGACGCGCATCAAACATCTCGAGGTGGAGGCAGATGAAGTGATGGAGTCATTCGACGTGATCTCATTATTCACCTCCATCCCACCCGCGCTGGCTATCGACACTATTGATGGCTTTCTCCGGGAAAGTATGATGAGACCGACCAACAGCTCAAACGAGCACACATCATCGAGCTCTTAGAACTGTCTAAGTCAGTCAGCGGCAAACAGGCAGGTCCAAGTTCGTGCGTCCAGCACGGCTATAATACGAGGCAAGCGGCAAGACTAAATAACTCAGGACCCGCAAGTGCAACAATTACGCTACTCTGATGATGGAAACGAGGAAGTTTCCGAAACGTCAGTTCGAATACAATATGGTCCATGGATTCGCCCTCTCTACTTCTTCGTCTTCTTTGGGAGATGATGAACGAGATATATATATATATATATATATATCAGGAATGGGCGCACACCGATCTATTGGCTTCACAAAGCAAACAAGCTCCGTATGTGTGGCAAAGGTCACGAACAGGCAACCAATTACCAGGCCGAAGTCGGCC